TGTCAAGTCCATGGCTCACGGGAAATCCCCGGGAGTTGATGGACTGACAGTGGAGTTTTATGTTAGAAATTGGTCAGTATTCGGCACAAGATTGGTCGATCTGTACAATGATATACTCCAGGGAGGCAGACTGGGAAGGTGTATGACACACAGGGTGATCTCAATGCTGTTCAAGAAGGGAGACAAGGCTGAAGTCAGGAATTGGCGCCCAATCTCCCTCCTGAACGTCTCGTACAAGATCCTTGCCAAAGCGTTAGCAAGGAGGCTCGGACACTTCCTTCCAGACTTGGTGGAGAAAGATCAGGGGGCTTTCGTCCAAGGTCGGTCGATCTTTAACAACATTGTAACCGCGATCAAGGCTCTGGAGGTGATACAAACTGAGAACTTGGACACGGCCATCTAGCTGCTGGACTTGGAAAAAGCATACGACAAGGTCGGATGGACCTTTGTCCTCACCACCCTGAGAAGAATGGGTTTTGGCGCTTGCTTCTGCAGATGGGTAACAATGATGTACACTCTCTCCACGTCCGCCGTCATGATAAATGGGCACTTGTCATCCTCCTTTGACCTCTCGCGGTCCCTTCGGCAAGGCTGCCCCCTTGCCCCCCTGTTGTTTGTGCTCCAGATGGAGGTCCTCCTCAACCGTGTGAGACGCTGCCCCCGGTCAGAGGTCTGAAGCTGCACTCAGGGGCCGAATGCACAGTCAAAGCACTTGCTGATGACCTGTTCTTGATTAGTGAAAACTCAACTGAGTCACTGGGGGCTTTAAAGGAGATCATGGTGGAGTACTCGACACTTTCGGAAACTTCAGTTAACTGGAACAAGTCGGTGTATCTTCTCCCAAGGCCGTACGTGCTGAAAGTGGAGAGGGGGATGAGAAGAGTAGATGAGGGGGAAGAGGAGAGATTTCTGGGAGTCTTGGTGAGCCTGCAGGTTATCTCCACAACGCAGGGTCTGGTTCTACAGCAAAGAATTGCAGCAAGATTGAGGACATGGGGCTCAACTTGGCATCTGTCACTAATAGGTCGTGCTCTGCTGGCAAACATGGCTCTCTTCTCAATCGTATGGTTCATTAGCACTGTGAGGGAGATTGCGGAAGGAGTTATCAGAGCGGTGAAAAGACTGGTAGCCCGATTCATTTGGAAACCCAGAGCAAAAGAAGCCGAAGGTTTCTTAATCAAGGTAGCTTGGGACTTACTGACTTTCCCATGTTCACAGGGCGGGCTGGGCCTGGTTGACCCAGCACAGAAGAATGCGACGCAGCTGGCTAATTGGATCTGCAGAATAGCCACCGCTACGGGCAAGGAAAACTGGGTGGAACTGGCGGAGCAAATTCTATCAAAAGAGTGGAACCTCAGCAGACCGGAAGACTGCTGGGCCTGCCTGCTCATGAATTCCTTCCGCAAAAGGAAGTTGAAGTCTGTGTTTTGGAACAAAATCAGGAGGGCGTGGCATAGCCTTCCTCCAACGTTCCGCTCAGAGCCCAGCACCAGAGGAGAGGTCCTATCGCAAATATTATTTGACAATCCAAGAATCAGTACCACACAAGGCACCCCACTGGTAGCTGACGGCTCTACAGGTTCCTTTGGCCAAAGTTGGGTTTGCAAAGGAGTGGTAAGACTAGGAGACCTGTGGTCACCAATCCTGGGAACCTGGCGCCCAACTGCAGAAATCAAAGCTAAGCTAGCTGGCCTCAGAAACGTGGAGGATCACCGGCAACTTATCATCAACTCGGTTCCGGAGGAGTGGATCAAGATACTAGGCCCGGAGGGACTCGACCCACCAGGGACTTGGTACTTATCGAATCAGGAGGAGGGTGGTAACGTGGTCTGGAAATTGCTAGAGATCCTGCCGAGCGGATTCCGGAAGGTGGAGCGGTGGCAGTGCAGTGGCTACAACAACAACCTCATTCGGATTGAGGAGAAGGTCATCCAGATGTGGGACAACCCCCAACAGGTAGGAGTGGTAGAGAGCAAGGCCAAGACATCCAAGTCAAGCCTGAGCTGGATTGGAAGATCTACTTTGAGCAACTTAAGCATCGACCCCCTGGCATGGGGCTGGCAATCCACTTCGCAGGGAGAAGCAGTCACTCTCATCTCAGACTATACGGTGTCGAAGGACTATAAACTCAGACTGAAGAACAGAACCGCTCCACCGGAGGTAGCCACACGCAGATGGCAAGCTGTCCTACCTGAAGACCTACCATCAGCAAAGACACAGTTTGGTAAACTGTGGAGGATCTTGACGTACCTTCCAAACGGCAAACAAGTGAGTATCCTGTGGACACTCTCGCTGATGGTAACACCATCAGCGGTCTGGCTGCTAGGCAAAGGGATGCAGGTGGACTTGAAATGTTCCAGGTGCTCCTGGCCTTTTGAGTCCACAAGGCATCTATGGTGGGAATGCCCGGTCTCAAAACGCATCTGGAAGTGGTGGAAAACTCACTGGGACGAGTTCAGGGACAGATCAATACTATGGGGCGAACGCTGGGTTCTGCTGGGCTTCCTTCCGGAGGCGCTGACGGGGAAGAGTGGCCGGGCCTATGTGGCGCATGCTGTCCGCGGACTAATCTGCGAGGTCATCTGGATTGACAGAAACAGAGCAAGATTCCAAGGAAGGCCTCTATCAGACCAGGAAATCAAGTTTCGGATCAAGGCAGGACTGAGGGAAGCCATCAGAGTCGATTGGAGAAGAAGAGCCAAGTCTGGAATGGGCAGCACGAGGCAAATACGCTGGTTCACACGTACCTGGGCCCAGCAACACAGGCTCGCAACTGTCCAAGGGGAAGGAGGCCTAACACTGGCCCCATGGATCTCTGAAGACCGGACCCTGGTAACTCGGGGACCATAGGCGGAAAAGGAGTATCTCCGCTACTTGTGGTTTTAGCTACAGCTCCCACTCCCAGCCCTGCTGGCAGCGCCCATAGCACCGCCAGAAGTCCCCCACCTCCATGTACTTACCCACACTCCTCAGATACCTCCACCAGAATCAGGACGAGGGCAAAATTACTTCCACAACCTCGGCAGCCCACCGTGCCCGAGACAGTTCATGCCGTTCTTTGAATTCAAAAGGCTCCTCTATTCCCCCCCCCAAAAAAAAAAAAAAAACGGCTCCTCTATTTCTTTTTTTTCTTTTTTCTTTTTTTTTTTCTTTCTTTTTTTTTGGGGGGGAAAAGGTAGAGGATCCTTTATTCAAAGCAAGAACAAAGCACAAGCTCTGAGGCCGGGAATCCTCAACAAACAACCCGGTATGTAACCTGGGCCCCCTGAGACGGAGGCCACTCGTGAGAACCAGTACTTAGTAAGATGCAGGTGAAATTACTGCCCGCGCATCGACCCCTCTGGTCTTATCTTCGCGACAGTGCGACTTGTATGGAGCCCTCTGCTCTTCTGTTCACGCCTGTGATTCGAGCTCTCTGCTCTTCTCAACTGTAAGCCTACACTAAAAAGGAGAAGAGAAAAAGAGACTAAGTACTAACCCCCACTTACTGTAATAACTGTTGAACAAGGCAGGCCTAAAGCGGCCTGCGAAGGGCTACAGCCCCTCACGACACTCCTACCACATACCCCAAAAATGCTCGTCTGCATCTTACAGTAGCTGCCTGCCTACTGTGGCTAAAATAAACCGAGTGTCCTGGTTTCTAACTATGTTTACACAAACCAACAAAGCCAATAGGACCAATGAAACCAATTGTAGACACTACTAGGAAGAACCAAATAACACCTCAACAAATATGACAACGAAACTTCAACCAATAGTATTAACAACATTCACAAATTAACATTCTAACTATTGGCTCCTCTATTTCGCAAATCTACAGTGTGCCTCGGACACTACTCATCGTTACGGCAAGAAGGGACGGAAGGGGTGAGGGAGAAGGACAAAAAGAATATGGTCACTGTACTGTACTTGGCCCAGCTATCGGCCGCGAAAAAAAAAAAAAGTAGAAACGTTTCTAGTCGGATGAAACGAAGGCAAACAGCCATTGATTCCTTTTCCCGTAGTGTCCCATCCGTTTCCTAAAATCGTGGCGCGTTAACGGCACGACTCGAGGCTGACTGACGCACAAACGTCGAGTACTGGGGGGGGAAAAAAACTAGCGATTTCCCCACCGGAAATCTCAACACACCTACCAGGCAACCATCACCAAACACACCATGGTCAGCCCCCACGCCTGCAGTTATTGACTTATCATAGCGTCTTCGTCATCTTCCTGCCCATTTACTGCATCAAATTCCATTTCGCCTTCTTATGGTCCGCGGCATCGGACGGCCTACCGGTACCGGTAGATGGATCTGACAGCCAACAAACACCGGACTCGCAACTTGAAGGCGACCTTCCTTCCCGGGGCTAGGTCCCACTTGCACGAATGAAGAGATAGTGACCGTAGATAGCAAAGATCAACGGCCGAAATCTCTTAATCCGTGCAAGTGGGACCTTGCCCCCGGATGGCCGCCGTCTCCGCCGAATGCCCGGTGCGAGTGTGCACCCTCGATCACGTCCAGCCAATTGAAACGACTAAGTTCAAGGTGAGCCCCGAAGGCACTAACCGACTTCGTCACCTTCTATTCTAGGCTATACCTTTTTTTTTTTTTTTTTTTTTTTTTTTTTTTTTTTTTTGTTGGGAAAGGCTATACCTCTCTGCCTGCCGTCGAAGAAATCGACAACCTACAACTGACTACTAAATGGGCGACGGATGTAACTCTTTGGGCCTCGCTGCACTACGCTCGAAATGTGCAAAACGAGAGTGAATCTTCCGCTAGAATATGGGAAGATACACGGCGAAGATTCTTGTCGTTTGTGCATGTCGAGAGTAGTGCAGCGAGGCCCTTTCTCGATGTACCTCAGAGTCAGAGTCTTCCGCAACTCTGATATCCTTTTTTTTTTTTTTTTTTTTTTTTTTGAGAGAACAATCCGACCAGATGCTAGGTGTGCTGATAAGAGCAGGCACGTGTCCGACATAATTCTCGGCCGACTTTATCTCCCCCTTCTAGTGATCTAACACGATTTTTTGGAGTTCCTATCCCTTCTAGTGTATGGGTTACTAGATCACTAGAAGGGTGTATGGGTGTACGGTTGTATGGTATCTGTTGGCATATGCGCCAAAAATCGGATTGACGGCGGGGACGATTTGAACTCCAACCGTGAAGGAGGAGCGCGCTGGGGGATCGAGCACAGCAACGGGGTGCGTGGGGGCGGTTTGCAGCGCTGCCGTAGCACGATGGCGATGCTGACGTCATCGTCATCTGCTGTCATTACGGGGTCGTTAGCGGTGCTGATCCTGTTTGTCCCGAGCGTAATGATCGTCATCAGGATGAGCTCCAGCTGCGCGAGGAGCGGCACTATAATTGGAGTTACCCTCTTGCAGCGGCTCGCGGGGTACGCGGGGTACGTGGGCTCGGGTGTCTTCGTCCCCTTTGAAGTTTTCACCTCTGCGTCATCGTCAACGGCAGAGGAGGGGAGGGCAGTGCCACCATCTCTGCAGCCGAAGCGTGTCCTTCTTCTGTCCAAACCCTGCACAGACGGATTCCGAAGGGAAACCAGCGGTCCGCTGAGTTGCGCTGAGGAAATCGGCCGCGATGACCTTCTGCGCGACGGCTCGAATTACTCTGAAGATTGTTGTTTTGTCCATGGTTTCACGTGGTCGCCAAAGGACGAGTCCATGTTTGTCCTCGCCGCCGATCGCGTGTGGTTGAAGCGAACGGATCCAGAAGGGGGCCTGATATCATCCGCGAATGCCACTCTGATTGCTGGGCCTTGGCTGCCTCCGGACAACGGCTCGCTGGATGAGACCACCGCAATTACGGTGTATGATCCCGACCTGAGTGCTGATGGTTCGAGTAGCAGTACAGGGAAGAAGGTAGGCAGGCGAGTCCTATTCGTGGGGGACAATGGTAATCGCATGCTTCGCGTTTACCTGGTGCCCGCCCTAGAGAGTGCCGATAAGCTATTGGACGATTACTCGCTTCCGTACGATGATTTCACGGGCGGGAGACAGGTCTGGAGCCTCGCATGCGATTCCTTGCGCCATGTTTTGTACGCTACTACAGACAGTCAGGTTCTGAAGATGACACTCAAAGGAACTGTAGAGTTCGTGGAGGTTGGGGTAGTAGGAGGGCAGGCCAGCAGCGTGAGACTCGTTCCTGAGAGGGCCAGGTTCGAATCCTGGATTGGATCTAGCCTCAGTGTCGGCTACAATGACGGCGGCGATGATCCTCGCACCGTCCGATTCAACGGGCCTATCGTGAGCTCGTCCACCATATCCACGGACGGGGAGCAACTGTACGTTGCTGATGTAGCCAACGACATCATTCGGCGCATCTGGACTGTGAGCGGCAAAGTGGAGACCATAGCTGGACGAGCAGAAGAACCCGGTGCGAGAGATGGCACCTTGTTGGAGGCGCGCTTTAAAAATCCGCGTGGGGTGGTATTAATGCCGGACGGATGCAACATGTTTACCTCGGAGGTCGGCGGAGGCGAAATCAGGTTGATACACTTGGATAGCGTGGGAGAGGGCAGTGCAGCTGGGAGTGTATCGACCATAGCCAGAGTGACGTCTGGGTCATCAGTACTGGCAAGGACATCTGATGGCGGGCCTCTTTACATCGGTTCATTTCGTGAGACATTTTTTCAGCTCGCTGTTACTGAGTCGGCCCTACCTCCTTGCTCATCCCCCATTGATGCCAGCAATTCTAGCGTTCCAGCCCCTTCCCCTCGCTCTAACGCCGGCAATTCCGTCACCATCATCGGTGTCGCCGTCGGCCTGAGGTTGCTCGTCGGAGCCGCCGCCATCGCTGCCTCTTGCTTCGTCATCGTCAGACGGCGTCGTGGGGGAATGCAGCCGGGGAAGGTGTCAAAGCGCTTCCCGTCTGGGGCTGAGGGAGCGGAGCTCCGCGTAGGAGGAATCAGCCCTTCTGCCGCCGATACCACGCCCGTTACCAGTCTAGCGGAGTGGAGTCTTAGCCAGCCATCGGTGGATCGTGAGAACCCTCCTTCTGGTGGTTCCGCTGAGGTCGGCGGTCGCGAGCTTCAGCCGGCCGGTCCCAGACGCTACTGCCTTGCTGAGCTTAGGACTGCCTGCGATGGGTTCAGCCAGAGGCGGCTGCTAGGACAAGGAGGAGCGGCGGAGGTGTATAAGGGAGTGCTGAGCGGCGGGGAAGTGGTGGCCGTCAAGCTGATGAAAGGAGAGGAGTTCTCTGCAGGCAGGTTTCGGCAGTTCCAGGCAGAGCTGGCGGTGCTGGGTTCGCTTCGACACCGCCACCTCTGCCCCATCATCGGCTATTGCACCGAGAGCGACAGGTCGTCGATCGTCTATCCATTCGTAGACGGAGGGACGTTGTACGATCGTCTGCACTCGCCATCATCGCGTCATCATCCTGCCGTCCCAACTGCGGACGGAGAGACTCAGTGGATTGGCAAACCTACCAAGTCCAAAAGTGTAGACGAAGAGGAGCGCAGTAGTAATGCTGCGGAGGAGGAGGGAAATAGTAATACTACCGGTAGCTTGTCGGGAAGGGCGCCTCTAGAGTGGACGGACCGGGTGGTCGTCGCCTGCCATATCGCTAGTGCTCTGCACTACCTTCAGGAGTTGGTGGATCCGCCAATAGTCCATCGGGACGTCAAGAGCAAGAACGTTCTTCTGGGGAGTAGTGGGAATGGTCGAGCAGTCAGGGCGTACCTGTCCGACTTCGGATTAGCAAAACTTGGACAGAGTGTTTTTGGGGAGGAAACGGCGGGAGAGACGGTGGAGACGTACCACGTGGCCGGGACTATGGGCTACATGGCCCCCGAGTACTTCCGGGATGTCCGACTGACAGTAAAGAATGACGTGTACGCCTTCGGGGTGCTGCTGCTGGAGCTAGTCTCAGGGCGGAAGCCGTTCGGGGAACGTTCCTGCCATCTGGGGGAGGAGGAGCGGAAGGAGAAGGAATGCGGGAGGGCAGCAAGGCTCTTGCTGAGTGGGTAAGGAGAAAATTGGTAGAACTTTCACGGGAAGAGGAAGGTGGGGAACGTGGCCAGCAATCTGATGATGTCTCTGTAAATCTCGCGCTTGTGAGGACAGAGCATGTCCAGCAGATAGCCGACAGGAGGTTGGAGGCACTGGGTGTTGTCGACTGGGGGGCTGTGTACAGCATGTTCGCGGTGGCGATGATGTGTATCCAAGATGACCCTAATCAACGGCCCTCGATGAATATGGTCTTGCAAAGGCTATCGCAGCTGTCAAGGGTAGTTGCCGTGGGTATGGTAGGCTGACCACTGTCTTCCACCGAAAATTGCAAGAAGTATTGTTAGTTTGTAACGAGCATACCAGTATGCTGATACCTCCTGGCAAACATGCAAGGGAGACAAGGCAGCGCGGCGTATCTACCCAAGGGATGGGCGTATCTACCCAAGGGATGGGATGAAGTGAAACGATCAGTTAGGGGGTTAGCAAAATGGTGCATAGAATCTAGATAGTGGGTCTGTGGTACAATAGTTGACACCTGGCGTCCAAAGTACTTGTATGACGGGGCTCATTCTGCAATGCTTCTGCTGTGGAGTTTCAGTGCGAGCGCGTAGGGTGCGAACCGGGCGGCGGGCACCTCTCGACACTATCGAGGACGACGACAGACTTTGTAGTCATCACCAAGGACTGAAGCCGGTCAAACGTGGACAGTGAAAGAAGATAACGTGGACAGTGAAAGAAGATTTCGGCAGGCATCAGGCGCGGCAAGCAGGGCGGGACGAGCGTGTCGGTAATAACAACAGCAAGAACAAGTCTCAACACGGAAGGTCTGACAGTGGGGAGTAGAGACTCTAAGGGCGTGAAAAAAAAATATTAAAAAAAAACAGAAAAACAAATAAATATTGATTCATGATTGATTGATTGATTGGTGGGGGAGGGGTCCTCCTTCCCCTCCCCCCAGCTCACACACACACACACACAATTGACAACACACAACACGGCCTTGCTAAGCTTTCCGCACCGTTCAGCGGATCGATGCGGCTAGGGTCGGGACGGTACTAGCGGTCATGCCATTGGGTGTCCATGGCTGAGTGGGTGTGTAGAGTGGGTTTTATGACTGTGTCAGATGAGTTTCTCAGACTTACTACCATTCTTATCAGGGGTTTGGACCCGCAGTCTGCTAGGATTGCAAGGTTGGTGTGAGTAAAGTCGACCACTTTTCTCAGGGGTATTGTGACGAACCACTTTCCGTAAACGCGCGATGTTCTGCGCAGTTGCAACGAGGGGTCCTAAGCTGGGAAGATTGGACCAATTACGGGAAATCGGGATCGGTGGAAAATTGCATCAGTACCCTTGCTTTTTCGTCTTTTTCGTCACTTCTTGTCGGATGACTGGGTTCGGAGCTGGGTGTGTCCAGGGACGGCTGGTTGAGTGATTGGTCGGATGGATGTCTGGCGCGCCACCGCGTGCGCGATTAATAAATGTTGACGTTGTTTCTTTCGTTTCGGTTTTGATCTTTTGGGCGCGGACATCGCGCGGGAAATTGCTTCGTTCTTTTGAAGTTTTCCTTTGGGTCTTTTTCGAATTTTGTTGAGCCCCCCCCCGATGGCTCTCCGAATTTTGGACTTTCCTTTTGGAATTTGTGCTTTTTGCTTTTTCGCATTAGATAGGAATTTAGGAATTCGGTAATTTGGACTTTTCCTGCCGCGCGGCGCCTTTTGACTACACGCTTCTTCATGCGGCTGTAACGATACTCTGATTAGTGGGCGCCCTTAATCGTGTGTGTAACTGTAATTTTGGGCGGGCGCCATTGTAACTGTATCTTTYTTCTTGCACTTCGTCTCTCCCACCCTCCCCCTCTTTCTTTTGCTGAAATTTTCGTAGGCCGTGGTTTGCATGCTCGGATCAATGCGTGGAGAAGGGTTACCTCCCCCACGCCGCGGCTCGATCATACAGAACACAGGCGCTCCCTCTCTAATCTTCACTCTAAGTCCTGGTAATTCCGTGTTCTCCGCGCATGCATGCACGCTATAAATTTCTGCTGCGCGATTAGTCAACTCTCTTAACCCGTTGTTGGAAGCTCGGGGTTGCGCGATCAGGAAGGGTCGGCACACGAGCGAAGTAAGAGGTGAGTAGAGTAGGAGTTGGGCGCCCCGATGGGCTGGTGCTGAACACGCGGGATTGACGTGGGCCACGACGGACTGTGGGCACGGGCGAATCCAACGGGTGCGGGAGGACTAAGCGGGGTGACGGGCTGGTGCCGAACGCGCGGGATTGACGTGGGCCACGACGGACTGTGGGCACGGGCGAATCCGACGGGTGCGGGAGGACTAAGCGGGGTGACAACTTCGTGGGTTGGTGCGTGACGACGGACTGTCCGCATCGGAGAGAGAGAGAGAAGGAGAGAGTTGAGGTCGATGGACGTGGATTTGCTGTTTCTTTGTCTCTTCCCCCTCTTCATCTGTGTACATACATTTTGATTGCGCCTCCGGGCTGTTTGCCCGTTCTTATCTTTCGTTTCGGCTTTCTGAGCTTGGGTTTTTGCTCACACTTGTCCTTGCTATGTCCGTCCCGCTTGCATTATATGTATGATTATCGAATGTATGGATGCGTGGACGTTATGCCTGTTTGTCTATCTTTTTGCTGAGAATCCCCCGTCCTTGCTTTTTGTTTGTGTCGAATCTTTGCTCACGCCTGATGCAGCTATAGATGGGATAGGATTTTGGCCCCGATAACGATTTTTGTTCTCGTTTTTGCTTATCTCACGATGTGGGTTGTGCTATGGTTGCACTGGCATGATCGAAACTTCCGAAGTATGGCCCCGCGAACGCTGCGCGAGAACACGTGTCAACGCGATCTGAGTCGCGCCCTTACACACATTCCCGTGCGTCGACTCGCTCATCCAAAAAGATTCGCTCGCTCACCCAAAAAGATCCGCGGCGGGACCGTCATCCCGTACAAGCACGTTGAGGCGCCACTGAGGCTGCCTGCCCTGCACGTGCTTGTGCGCGGTGACGATATCCCGACCGAGCTGTCCCATCAACAATGATACCATGACGCGATCTTGGAGTTCGGACTCATCCTATGACCCGGACTATTTCACCCCTCTGATAAACGAGCTCATAAGGACGCGATACCCCTGTCACACGGAGAATCGACTATGTCCGCGGGAATTCCACTGCGCCACCTCTAGCGACCCTCGGTGCTCTGATTTCCCTTCCCCCGACCACACCTACTACTTCACCCACCCGGGATTTGTTGTCATCAYCACCAGTTTCCCTCCTTTCCGTYTTTTTCTCYCGTACCATCAACTCAGTGTCGTCCCGTGGCCGGCCATCGCCCCATATTGGCCCAACACGTTTTGTGTGAATTGTCGACGTAGCGGCGAACAGAGAACTCYGGACTTCCGAAGGCCCAACCCAGGCACGCGGCGACCTGCGCCACTTGGCGGCCCCCGACGGCCTAACTTTTCGGGACCGCCTCCACCGCGGAGGGAGTTCCCCGTAAACCGTCGCCCATAGTGCCCCGGCCCCATCGGATCGTGAGGCCCTTGCGCACACTCGCCTAATTGCGTTCATGCCCTTAAGACTCCCCCACTTTCCCCAAAAATCCTTGGCACACCCCTTTTCGCACTTCCCGGCCCACACTTCACTCCGATCAGGAAGTTGCGCTGGGCGTGAGGTTGGTATCGGAGCTCGACACGTGGCTAGGGTCTTAGGATTGATAGCACGTTAATTAGGTGACCTGGCTAACCGTGGACGACCTCACCCTCGGAACGCGCATAGACGCGACCCTATCGTCACCAGAAGCAGATCGGCTAACCGACGAGCAGGCAATATGCCTGCCAGCGTGCAAAATCCGGTTCCGCAACAAAATGTTAATCCACCTAATCAACCTGCCCCACGTGCACGAGCTCCCATGTCGCCACCAGATCTCTATCTATTTGATCCGGCGCACCATTTCGCAGGAGCATGGCTGGCCACGCTTAGAGCACAGCAGTACGATGATCACGAAGCACAGATCAACATTCCGGCTCGAATGGGAGGAGACGCTCATCATTGGTATAGTACCTATGGATGGGTGGATCTCCCGACCTTCGAGCGGGATTTCATGAATCGATTTGATTATGTCCACCCTGAGCAAGCGCTGTACATGATCAAGGACCGAGTGCAAAAACCGCTCGAAACTGTTGCGGAATATCGAAACCGGTTCTACCAAATGTTCGTAAAAGTAGAGCGAGGTGAGCAAGTAGGGAGAGATCTGTTCATTGACGGACTCCGCAGTCGGACAATAAGGGCTAAGTTGCGAAAGCAGTTTTCCCCCATCACCCATACGTTACAACAAATTATGCCTGCTGCGGAAGAAATGGAACGGAAGTTCGCGCCGAACTTCCTGGAAGGAGAAGATTACCCGAGAGACGGAGATTCGACCGAGATCGCTCGAGCAAGAGCAGAGCTGGCTGCTTTACAGAACAAATTTGAAAACATGGGGTTCGTATCAGGACCTGTCACCTATATGGAACAGATAGGCCCCAAACGAGTAATCCTAAGTGAGACTCCGAGCATCTCTGCTCCTATGATGCCCCCGCCCGYMRGGRCATTACYCCCGCCGCCGGTAGAGGCTCCTGTACGATCAAACGAATCGGCGGCCATTTTCGAACTAACCAAAACTTTGATTAGTTTGATCCAAGAAAGCAAAAAGAAACAGCGAGAACACAATGCTCGGCTGGAAGCCATGATGAGGAACATGCGACCTATTGCGGTGCATGCCCCTCCGATGCAACAAGGATTAGCCCTTGCCCCTGCTCTCGGAGGAGCTGCGAACAATCTGAATGTTTGCTACGCCTGTTATCAGCCCGGACATCTAGCCCGTGATTGCCCCCACCGACCCCTACAACAACGGATCAGAGTCGCACCTATGGCTGAGGCCCCCATCGCCAACGGACCTGGACGAGTCGGAGCCTTGATGGAAGAAGTAGAGGGTGGGGGAAGTGCCTTGGCCACCACGGAAGAGGCCGCCGAGCTAATTCCGCTAGATCAGTATGTGTCGCTGGGATATCCTGGGCTAGGAATGATCGGAACAATCAGACCAGCGCCTGAACCGAAAGAGGTGGCGGAGTGGCGACCGTCCTTAGGAGAAATGCAGTCGGGAGGACCCACCTTCGTCACAGGAGAGATCGATGTACTAAACATCATCCGAACCTTGGACCATCGGATTCCCCTTCCGATCGGTCATCTACTCTCGATCTCCGAGCAAGCCAACGAGCGAATGTTACAGCACTGTAAAGCGAATCGAAAGCGATTCGCTCTCGCCCGAGCACCGAACGTAAAAGCCAAAGGCCCCGTGCCGGAAGAAAACCCAACAAGCACTCCGGATCCGATACGGATAGGATTAATTCAGAAAGACGATCATTTCCTATGAATTAAACCCATTCCGTGGAAATCCGCAGAATGCGATATAGAAATTTGGGGAATTCCTTACAACGCCATTATAGACTCAGGAGCAGCTGTGTTGGCTATTTCACTGAGAGTGGTCGAAAGGGGAGGCAGGAAAAACGATCTGATCATGCTCACCGAGAAAGATCAGCTCGTTTCGGCAGATGAGGAAAAATATTAAAACTGTGGGGAGAATGACCAATGTCGCCTTCCGATTAGGAAAAGTACACGCGCTTGGGGATGTCGTAGTACCAGATGTTAATACGTACAACGTTCTTTTTGGACTTCCCACTCTTGTGGCGTTACGAGCAAACCTGGATTTCGAACGACGATCGATCGTCCTCCAAAATACAGGAGGAAAACCCTACGCTGTGCCCATGCGATTGACCCTTCGCACTACTACTAACCCGGTACCGCGGGTTTCGCCGATTATGGCAGGGACTCTCCGCATGATCTCCTGGGACGAACCCACAGAAGGGAAGCCATCAACTGATGATGCGGAAAGCAGTGACGAAGATGATCCGGAGATCTTGAAATTGGTACGACAACGCGTTTACTACCCGCCGCCCAAAACGATAGCGAGAACGATGCAACTGACCAGCCGAAAAATTCAAAGGACCAAGGCGATGATCTTGGGAGAGCCCCTTGTGCAGATTTCGAGGATGGTCGACTCTTTGGAACCCCCTCTGTACGAAGGGATCACCCCTCTCCTCGCCAGGTATAGCGACAAAAAGCGTTATTGCGACATTACTGAACTACCTAGGTCTTTACTAACATCGGCTAAAGAAGTGAGATTGTTACGCTTGGGGGCGGAAGCAAGCTCTCTGGAACCCCCTGGGCGTTTTGAGGCAGAAACAGACGGTCTGGGGATAAAGATTGCAACTAAGGAAGTGCCATGGAAGGATGTTTGCGACGGGATTACCCCGGAAGGACACGTGGCAATCCGAGACGAAGATGCTCAGATGATGGCCACGGTGTTCTCCTGGGTATCGGATCATTCATTTATCTCGGCGCCTCCACCCGACTGGACAAAACAGGCTAACACGAAACAGATTGACGTTCGGATCTAGGACCAACTTTTTGAACTGCATGTTCCACAATGTGTGCTGGATGAAATCCACCGGGTGATTACGGATATTCTAACGGAATACCAAGAAGCAATTAGTGTGTCAGACACTGACATCGGGTTATCGTTAGTAATCCAACATGAAATTCAGACAGGAAATCACTCCCCGATTCATTGCAAACCTTATCGCTATTCCTTGATTGAACGCAAAAAGACCCTCGAACGAATTCGGGAGTTCGAAGCCAGTGGTTGGATTGAACCCGCTACCGAACCTTGGTCCTTTCCCGTAGTATTAGTGCTGAAGAAAAACGGGGCGATTCGCATTTGCATTGATTATCGCAAGCTGAATGAAATCACGATCAAAGATGTGTATCCCCTCCCCCGGATTGATGATTTGTTGGATGCGATTGGGTGCGCTAATTATTTAAGCAAGTTTGATATTCGGCATGACTTCCATCATATTCTGGTAAGGGAAGAAGATCGACCGAAAACGGCCTTTGTGTTGTTTGAGGGCATGTGGCAGTGGGTTCGGTATCCAATGGGAACTTGCAATTCGCCTGCCACGTTTCAGCGAGCCATGAACATGACGTTCCAGAATTTCGTCAACAAGACACGACTGACGCGAGGGATGATCAACTTTTGTGCGATCGTGTACATGGACGACATCCTGGTCTATTCGGAGACCTATCACGGGCACGATCAACACATCGAGTGGACATTGGGCGCACTGAGAGATGCTGGGTTCAAGATTGCGCTCGAGAAAAGCAAATTTTTCCTCTCGAAAATTTCGTTCTTGGACTACGTCGTGACACGTGGAGGATTGCGGCCGGACTCGAGAAAAGTTGCGGCGGTGAAGGAAGCCCCGGTTCCCACGTCACTAACGCAGGTTCGAGCCTTCTTGGGGCTGGCGTCGTACTACCGGCGCTTCATCAAGGGCTTTGCCGCGATTGCACGACCGCTAACGAATCTGTTACGGAAAGACCAGCCTCTCAGTTAGGACGCGGAGTGCCAGCAGGCCTTTGCAACCCTCAAAGACGTTGTGGCAACGACCATTATCTTGATTCGGCCGGACCCCTCGAAGCAGTTCATTCTCATCACGGACTAACAACCGAAAGCTATTTCCGCTATTCTAGCACAGAAGGGGAGCAATGGTCGCGAACACGTCATCGAGTACGCGTCTCGAACCGTACCGGACGAACGAAGAAACGACTCCGCACTTCAAGGCGAGTGCTATGCGGTAGTTTGGGGAATCCAGCACTTCCATCCGTATCTCTACGGATAAAAGTTTCGCCTCGCAACGGATCACGAGCCTCTGGTAGCGCTGAAAAAACTCACCAACTACACGGGCATGATTGGCCGTTGGGCGGTGCGACTACAAGAATACGACTTCGATATCGTCCATCGAAAGACAGAGCGGCACGGCGACGCGGACGGGCTGACACGACTGCATCGACCTGTCAAGGTACCAAAGGGCGAGGAAATTACACCGTGGAAGGAGTCGGACTTGACCAATGAGCCGAAATACGGACAAGTGGCAGTTCTTCCACGTGGCAAGAAGCAAAACGGTGGTGATGGGTGATGGAGGTAACCCCACTACCCCTCTTTCTCCCCCTTCCTCCTCGTCTCTCCTCTCCCTGCCTGACAAATTTTGCTACTTTTGCGAAGCTATCTCCCGCGTATACGCGGTCTCCATGCGTCCTAACGGGGAAGGGTATGCGGATTGGATAGATTGCCGACAGTGTGTTGCACGAGCCCATGGCTCGTGCATCTAATACAAAAACGATAGTAAACCATGGTTGTGCCCCTTGTGCCGGACCGACAAGATTCCGACCGAGGCTCGCTTTTTGGATGCCACGTCAGAAGGATTGGAAAACACCCGGAAGTTTAGAAGGGCCGAAGTATGGACGGATATTGCCTTAATTGCCACCCTAGTAGGTAACCCCCTCCAGGATTTCACCAAGGAAGATCGGAGGAGGGCCAACGAAAGGGCTCGGGATTATCGATGGATAGAGGGTAGATTAGAAAAACGGAAAACGGGCGGCAGTGAGATTTGGATGGTAGTGCCGCATCCGTTCATGCAGTACGACTGGGTTAAGTCTGCCCACGAGGAAACTGCGGCCCATTTTGCCGTACGAATCACGGAGCCCACTATCGACAAAAATGAGTGGTATTGGACCAATATCCGCGACGATGTGAAATACATTGTCGCCAACTGTCAAGTCTGCGCCGCTGACAAGGCGCCGATTCAGCCACCAAGATCGATAGTGCCCACGGTTGTTGAACGGCCATTTCAAAGAGTCAGCATGGACACTACCGGCATAGTGGTGTCCTCTGGCCCTAATAGTTGCGAATATTCAGTCCTATTGGTATTTGTCGACCATTTCTCGAAATGGATCGAAGCGTATCCTTGTCGCATGCGGCAAGCCACGGAAATCGCACGGTATGTCAACCGTTTCCTCGGGATGCATCAGGATACGGAAGAAATCCTGACGAACAACGGGGCTGAATTCAGGGGAGAAGTGTTAAGGAAGCTGGTCCTGCATGGCGTCGCCATACGTAACACTGCACCCCATATGTCACAATCCAATGGGCTGGTCGAAAATGCTAACCGGATGATAAAGACATCGTTGCGACGAAACATCGCGGTACGGGATCCGAGACCCTGGCCCGATATCGTCGATCACATCCTGGCGGTCCATCGCGGAATGCCCCACGAATCGACGGGGCTGAGCCCCTTCCAATTAAGGACCAATAGTGTCGCTTGCATTTCGATACCAAGCCTTCCGGATGAGTCTAAATTGAACCGACGGCCCACCAGGGCCACGACTTAGGACAAGGCCAAACGACACCTAGAGTTAATGGAACGGTCGTTGCCCAGGCTAGCCCGAAAGCGACAGAAAATGACCGAACTAGCCCAGGGTCGACAGGTCCGGAGCTACGAGGCCCGAAATGGGAATGCGGGTCCATGGCCCCAGTACAAATTGGGGGACGTGGTGCAGGTGAGGAAATGTGCTCGCCAGGGTAAGCTAGCGCCACGATTCTTCGGGCAGTATCGCGTGATCGAGCTTGGACCCAACGGCGTGGACACCGTGCGTCTCGCTCCTGAAGTCTCTGGCAGTCGATCGGCTCGTCCGATCACATGCCACGTATCCTATCTTCGCCTCCTCCCCTCTGCTCCGTCTCCTTCTCCCTCGATCTCTCTCTTTGAGGAAGCCGACGACGGCGGCTCTGACTCTCCGCCATCTCCCTCTCTTTCCTGCTCCCTCTCTGCCACCCCGTCACCCCCGCCATCGCCATGAGTTTCGCCATCGAGCGAGCTTTCAGTGATCAGTTGATGATGCCACGGGGAGAGATCTCAGCCATCCGCCAAGTGCATCATCCACGGATCAGCCCCGACTTCTTGCGCCTTGCGCAGTTCTTCTGCATTGCGGGTGTATACGACACGACAGAGTTCCGATTCACGAGCAATCCCTAGGTAGTGGTGCTGGCCGAGGCAACGGGGTTCCAACGGCGAGCAGCCCCGGGAACCAGCCACGTGTCTACCGTGGTGGTCTTCAGCGGCGACATCACCACCTTCGATCCGGCGCGGCAAGCCGCCATCAAAAGCACCTTGTACCGGTGGGGTCGCGATCTGGCCACTGATTGGGATCGACGGCTCACAAGGCACGGTGACGAGTGCTACCCTGTCGATGGCATCGAAGTCAACTCGCTGCGCACGACGCTACGCGAGCCAGCTGTCGTCCTCCCAGAACTTGGTCCAGCCGTGCAGATGAGCCGCGCGCCGATCTCGACGTTCTCTCCTCCCTCTCTCTTCCCCGTCTTCTGGCAGTCCTCTCACTACCCTCGTCTCTCCTTCTGTCTGGAGCCACTGACAGTACCCATCATTGATCCGAACCGTTGGAGGCTGTGGCGTGCAGAATTTGTCGAGCTCTCGTTTTGCCTGCTACGAGTGGATCTGAACTGGACGCGGGAAGGTGATCAGAGGCCCGCATTGGAGATTGTGGAGTTGCTCGTCATTCAGGCGTGGAGGACCAACGTGGCGGGAGATCTTTTGGGATTCGTCTTTGGAGCAGTGGATCGGGGAAACCGATCACAGATCGTGCGAGAACTTACGATCGTGATCACGCGATTGGCCGACGAACTCCCTCTCGACATCGTCTCTCAGAGCGACGAAGAACCCGTGCCACATACCCTCTCAAGAACTCTCGCCCCGAGCCTCCAGTGGTCGGCTTGTATCGAGGAGCGCTGGGCGGACGGCCGTTTTCCCTCCGGTAGCGAGTACCTGGACGCCCACAGCCTGACTAATCCCTGCTTCTTTCGGCAACCAACGGCTTTCGAGTGGGCGGCACTGAGAGCAGAAGAGGAGGCCGAAGAGGAATCGGAAGGAGAATTGAGGAGAGAGGCCGGGGAAGCAGCGACGCGATTGGCCGAGGACGAGGAAGAAGAACGCGAAGCAGAAGAAGAGTCGGCGGAAGCTGAAGAAGAAGAAGAAGAAGAAGAAGACGCAGAGGAGGAGACTTCGGAGGAAGAGGAAAAGGCCTATAGCGAGTAAAGTGAGGGCGAGCAAAGTGAGGAGGAGGAGGAAGACGACGAAGAAGTGGAAAGCGGGGACGACCAGGGGCCAATGCACGATGAGCTCGAGTGGGTGCCAGGACCGGATCGGCGAGAGGAGAACCCGGAGGCTGCTGCACAGCGCAAAAAAGAGATCGCGGAAGGAAAGCGGCTGGCGATCGATCCCGCACCGAACGATCCTTTCAAGGATCTCGAGCCGCCCAAGCCGGAACATGGGGACCTTGCTGCCACGACCTCGGGAACCGCGACGACAAGGCGCCGATCCCGATCCCGATCCACGTCCCCCTCCGCCTCCGCCCGTCCCCCAATTCGTCAACGTGTCAATGAGGGGCTTAGCCCTTCGTCCCCGATCCATATACCACCATCTCCTTAGCTATCTCTCTTTCAATCAGTATTTTCATCGCGTCGTCTACCCTCGTAATCCCTTCCCCATCACCACCTTCCGACATTTCTACTCCGCCCGCCTAGAACTGATTGTCCACCCCCACCCCTCCGTTCGGTGTGCTGTCCCCGAATACTCCCTCCACGTTCTGCTCCTTAGCGCCGCGTGGCGAGGCCGTAACCATATAGAGGTTTATTGCATCGTTACGGGGATCTTCCCCGCATGCGAGAACCATGATCGGTTCCACACAGACGTCCTCCGAACCCTCGTATCCCTTTACCCAGACTACCTCGCTTCCCTTCCCCGCAGCGGCCAGAGGTTCCCCCGCTTCCATCTCATTGTCCGTTTTCAAGAACTTTCATATGACCTCACTGCGATCGGGCGCTTCATACCCGAGCTTGCGATGGAGCCGCCCCGCCCTCCCTCATATGCGTATCGCCTCCCCTTCCCCCTTCCGGTTAATTACTGATGCAGCGGTAATGGACGCATGTCGCGGCGATGACACGAGAAAGATCCCGTTCTTGAATCGTCCAAGAGCCCAATCTGAGGAACTAATAGAAGAGTTGAGTTGCCACGTTGGATGACGTCCACACGCAATCGAACGGTAAGTGGAATACAGAGAATTGCTCCGCGTGTCGATCGATTAGAGAAATCGACATGTGTCAACAAGCAAGCAGGAGCTTGCTAATACTGGAACCCCCTGGGCGTCACATATGTGACGAACCACTTTCCGTAAACGCGCGATTTTCTGCGCAGTTGCAACGAGGGGTTCTAAGCTGGGAAGATTGGGCCAATTACGGGAAATCGGGATCGGTGGAAAATTGCATCAGTACCTAGGCTACCAGTCGGGCCGCCCGGGTCCCGGGTGGCCAGCCCGTGCAAGGACCAAAGAAGGTCCCAGCAAAAAAAAAAAAAAAAAAAAAAACTTCCAAGAAATCCAAAAACAAACTATGTTATGCATTAAAACGAACTGAACAACTTTTGCCTCAGGGTTACATCGAAACTCTTCACCAAATTTAAAATAAAAAATAAATTTCAAAAATAATTTTTTATTTTTATTGTTTTGGCCCGGCCGGGCAAGTGACCCCGGGCCACTCTGGTAGCCTAGATCAGTACCCCTGCTTTTTCGTCTTTTTCGTCACTTCTTGTCGAATGACTGGGTTCGGAGTTGGGTGTGTCCGGGGACGGCCGGTTGAGTGATTGGTCGGATGGATGTCTGGCGCGCCACCGCGCGCGCCATTAATAAATGTTGACGTCGTTTCTTTCGTTTCGGTTTCGATCTTTTGGGCGCGGACATCGCGCGGGAAATTGGTTCGTTCTTTTGAATTTTTCCTTTGGGTCTTTTTCGAATTTTGTCGAGCCCCCCCCCGATGGCTCTCGGAATTTCGGATTTTTCTTCTGGAATTTGTGCTTTTTGCTTTTTCGCATTAGATAGGAATTTAGGAATTCGGTAATTAGGACTTTTCCTGCCGCGCGGCGCCTTTTGTCTACGTGCTTCTTCATGCGACTGTAACGATACTCTGATTAGTGGGCGCCCTTAATCGTGTGTGTAACTGTAATTTTGGGCGGGCGCCATTGTAACTGTATCTCTCTTCTTGCACTTCGTCTCTCCCGCCCTCCCCCTCTTTCTTTTGCTGAAATTTTCGTAGGCCGTGGTTTGCATGCTCGGATCAATGCGTGGAGAAGGGTTACCTCCCCCACGCCGCGGCTCGATCATACAGAACACAGGCGCTCCCTCTCTAATCTTCACTCTAAGTCCTGGTAATTCCGTGTTCTCCGCGCATGCATGCACGCTATAAATTTCTGCTGCGCGATTAGTCAACTCTCTTAACCCGTTGTTGGAAGCTCGGGGTTGCGCGATCAGGAAGGGTCGGCACACGAGCGAAGTAAGAGGTGAGTAGAGTAGGAGTTGGGCGCCCCGATGGGCTGGTGCTGAACACGCGGGATTGACGTGGGCCACGACGGACTGTGGGCACGGGCGAATCCAACGGGTGCGGGAGGACTAAGCGGGGTGACGGGCTGGTGCCGAACGCGCGGGATTGACGTGGGCCACGACGGACTGTGGGCACGGGCGAATCCGACGGGTGCGGGAGGACTAAGCGGGGTGACAACTTCGTGGGTTGGTGCGTGACGACGGACTGTCCGCATCGGAGAGAGAGAGAGAAGGAGAGAGTTGAGGTCGATGGACGTGGATTTGCTGTTTCTTTGTCTCTTCCCCCTCTTCATCTGTGTACATACATTTTGATTGCGCCTCCGGGCTGTTTGCCCGTTCTTATCTTTCGTTTCGGCTTTCTGAGCTTGGGTTTTTGCTCACACTTGTCCTTGCTATGTCCGTCCCGCTTGCATTATATGTATGATTATCGAATGTATGGATGCGTGGACGTTATGCCTGCTTGTCTATCTTTTTGCTGAGAATCCCCCGTCCTTGCTTTTTGTTTGTGTCGAATCTTTGCTCACGCCTGATGCAGCTATAGATGGGATAGGATTTTGGCCCCGATAACGATTTTTGTTCTCGTTTTTGCTTATCTCACGATGTGGGTTGTGCTATGGTTGCACTGGCATGATCGAAACTTCCGAAGTATGGCCCCGCGAACGCTGCGCGAGAACACGTGTCAACGCGATCTGAGTCGCGCCCTTACACACATTCCCGTGCGTCGACTCGCTCATCCAAAAAGATTCGCTCGCTCACCCAAAAAGATCCGCGGCGGGACCGTCATCCCGTACAAGCACGTTGAGGCGCCACTGAGGCTGCCTGCCCTGCACGTGCTTGTGCGCGGTGACGATATCCCGACCGAGCTGTCCCATCAACAATGATACCATGACGCGATCTTGGAGTTCGGACTCATCCTATGACCCGGACTATTTCACCCCTCTGATAAACGAGCTCATAAGGACGCGATACCCCTGTCACACGGAGAATCGACTATGTCCGCGGGAATTCCACTGCGCCACCTCTAGCGACCCTCGGTGCTCTGATTTCCCTTCCCCCGACCACACCTACTACTTCACCCACCCGGGATTTGTTGTCATCAYCACCAGTTTCCCTCCTTTCCGTYTTTTTCTCYCGTACCATCAACTCAGTGTCGTCCCGTGGCCGGCCATCGCCCCATATTGGCCCAACACGTTTTGTGTGAATTGTCGACGTAGCGGCGAACAGAGAACTCYGGACTTCCGAAGGCCCAACCCAGGCACGCGGCGACCTGCGCCACTTGGCGGCCCCCGACGGCCTAACTTTTCGGGACCGCCTCCACCGCGGAGGGAGTTCCCCGTAAACCGTCGCCCATAGTGCCCCGGCCCCATTGGACCGTGAGTCCCTTGCGCACACTCGCCTAATTGCGTTCATGCCCTTAAGACTCCCCCACTTTCCCCATAAATCCTTGGCACACCCCATTTTGCACTTCCCGGCCCACACTCCACTCCGATCAGGAAGTCGCGCTGGGCGTGAGGTTGGGCGTCACCGTATCCCTAACTCTGGGCAATGTGGCGAGTCCTTATCCATCAGTCAAATGCATCCTGGGCAGACTGTCGGGGTTCAACCTCCTGATGAGTCGGTGAAACAGTCTGGTACAGTCATGCTTTTTTTTAGTGTATAGCGAATATGATAACACTCACACACACACACACACACACACACACACACACACACACACACACACACACACACTCACACACACACACACACACACACACACCCATACTTACTTTTTCCAAGGGTCACTGGTCTACCCCTATATAGTTTTCTACCTTATATGCCCCTTCGGAGAATTAGACTGGTATCCTTCCCGGTACCAAAAGTAAAAAAAAAAATTTACCCCTCCCACCTGGCCTCTCCCCCGTTTGGGTGTTCTCAACGAAACTTTGAGTATCAATTTTTGGTATTTTTGAGGCTTGTGTTCGCCAATTGAGTGTATACTGAAAACACCTTTGTCCCCCCACCCTTATCCCAAAAAGAATTTGGCGGACCCTTCTGCTCTACCCCTCCCTCCTTTTCGTTCCACGACCCTTGGCGGTCTTTTTGCATTATTCAACTGGCGCGTTGTTTCCTACTGGTTCACGGACTATTTATGTAGCCCCCCCGGTAGGCTTACCCTCTCTCATGGTGTCCGGGGATGTATGCGACTAGCTGCCCCGTTTCATCATTGAATTCGGCGTTGCTATTCGTATCGTCCTCGTACGACATCATACGGTTTCTTGCGCTAATTGTTTATCACCTCGTAGCGCTGTGCGGTTCCCAGCGACTGTGTATCGACAACCTCGTGGACGGTTGGTCCTGGATTACATAGCACGTTCGCACTTGGATCGTCGACTTCCTCTGTCTCCTCTTCCTGGAATCACCACGTCTGCGGCTTCTTCCTCCCGCACAGCGGTGGTAATGCCCCTCGAATCCCTTTGCCCCTCCGGCCTCCCCCCGTCCACCTCCCCTCGCTCATCCACCTCCCCTCTTCATGAATGCTTCTTATCTAAACCCCTTCGCTATACTCCTCAATGACCCTCGAAATCTTTTTCCCCCTCCACCCTCCCCCCGTCCACCTCCCCGTGCTCGTCCATTTCCATTCCCACTGGTTACTTCTCTCTGCTCTGCTCGTCTAAATTCTCTTTACCATACTCCTCCCATCTCGGAACGATATCCGAGGGGTAATATTTTCCCCTGATGAGCCAGTTTGGCAGACACTGGCGAAAAAGC